TAATAAACCTGCGACATCTTGACATAAGTCGTACTCCAAAGTTAAACAAGATGCCCTTAGGGATTGGTGGGTTGACAAGTCTACAAACTCTACCAAAGGTTGTTATTGAACGAGATAACGACTTCAAAATATCCGACCTTAAGGACCTATCGAATCTTCAAGGTCGACTTTCTATCATGGGGCTGGAGAAAGTGATAAGTCCACTTCAAGCAAAGGATGCCAACTTACATGAAAAGGAGGGTCTTGATGTTTTGGATATGGAATGGAGTGATGTGTTTGATGATTATCGGAATGAGTTGATTGAATATGAAGTACTTGAAGAGCTAAGGCCTCATCATAAGTTGAGAAATCTGAAGATTTTGTTCTACAAAGGAATAACATTTCCTGATTGGGTGAGTGATCCCTCATTTGACCAGTTAACTGAGCTTACATTATGTGGGTGTAGAAGTATATATTTACCAACACTTGGATATCTACCTTCACTTAGGAAATTGTTTGTTAAAAGAATGATTGAGGTGGAGACCGTGGATTTTGAGTTACTTGCATCTACTAATTCTTTCCTTGGTATTAATTGCATTTCCGTTGCTTGAAGTTTTGAAAATTGATGATATGCAAGCATGGAAGGGATGGTCCACTAGAGGTGTCTACGAATTTGGAACAAAAACATTGTCCGAGACTGACACGTACAAGTGTCAATTAGATTGATACCATTACTTCTTGTTTTACATGTAGAAGGATGTTTGGAACACGTGTTAAGAAGCACTGTCGCTGCGTCTTCATCACTTTTTAAATTGAAAATGTGGAATGTTAAAGGACTTACTCAACTAGATGACGAAGATTTGAGGTATCTTGCAACAGTTAAAGATCTAAATATTGATAAATGTGATGAATTGAGATACTTATGGGAACTAGAAACCGAGGCATACAAGATTCTTAGGAGTTTACACAAGTTGGAGGTATGTCATTGTAACACATTAAAGTGTTTGAATTGTCTAGAACATGTGGAGAGGTTGGTGATAAGTTGTTGTCCTAAAATGACATCTTTGACCTTCTCACCTTCTTATTCTGTTTATTCCATTCCTACCATAAGATATCTTGACATCCATGGCTGCGATAATCTAAAGTAATTTCCTCATGAGCATTTGCAAAGACCACAATATCATTTTCTTTAACTGGTTTGCCAATATTAGCAAAGAACATTATAATACTCTTGTGGATCGGTTAAGTAAGCAGATGAGGACTCACTTCTTTCATTATGATTTTCAGAAGTTGGGTTTTAAGAATTCATGAGAAGAGGTATGAGGAGCATAAGAACCTTCTAAAGAAAGCCAAAGATCACCAGATGTATTACCTAGAACATGCTGAAAAGACAGTCTTAGAGATGGTGGACATCGAACATGTGCATCCTTAGAGACCCATGTATTGTAACAAGGGTTAGTTGTAGATGTGGATGTGGTCACGGTGTCACCTTCTTGTCCTGTAGAAGTGGAATTGGTGAACACGATGATGGTGGCTAGTGGGCAATGTATGGTGCCATCAACGTACCTAAACAGGTTGTTAGTAACTAGAAAGGGTTGGAACATAGTTTTCCAGTAGCCACAGTTGTTTGGGGACAAAGTAAAGGAAAATTTATGAGAGTTGTGGGCTATTTTCTTGGCAGTAGTAAATGCTGTCAGAGTCGACATTGTATTGGCTGACATCGAAATAAGAGAAGGAGAATGGTAATAGGTGCTGATCGATGTGGATGATTGTTTTTGTCTGGTTGACAATCTGTATGATCGACAATGGGTATGATGAGAGCTATTGTGGAGCCAATTTTAGGGTTAGGGAATAGAAGCTCTGATACCAAGATGAACTTGGTAATCGTTGAATTGTATATTGTGTCTTGAATATGTCAATTACATGAGGTATTAATAATAGATATATTTACACTATGATCCCTCTAGAATATAAACACGTAACTATTGTCTAATATTTATAACATTCGTCTAATACTGTTTTTACTAAAACTTTTGTGTTACTCTAATCAACAATTTTGGTAATGTAAAAATTCTTAGTACATTGTTATAAATAAGATTTCCTGTAAAGTACATTGCTATTTTTGGCAATGAACCATTCCATTCACTCCCGGATTCCATCATACCAAGCACTACCTAAAGCAATGCAACAACGGAGGATGGTCATTTTAATTCAATGACTTTTTTGAAAAATCAATTCATATAACTTTCTAATAATGATATTACACAAATAGAATACCTTTATGTCACCAAGGTTCATGACATCATCAACCTCGCCTTGTACGTACAACAAACTAACTTCCGATTGTTTTCTTCATGAAGAAAGTCTTCATGTCTTTAGTGTTGCTGGAAAACACATCACATTATAACTTTTTAAAATGGCTTAAACTACATTAAGAAATGTTCTTATAGAGTTGTCATACCATTCCATTGTAAATTGGCATTCCTTTGAAGTAAATTTCACTATGATCAGCATAATATAGTCTATCAGTTGCTTCCATATAGATAGAAAATAGCCCACTTCACCAACAAACAATTCATACTTCATAATATGGCTGCCATTAGAATAAAACACCAGAATAAATCAATTCAAGGGACAAAAAACATTAAATCATATTTATGGTGAACTTTTTGATAGATAACTGAGGGAATATTGTAACTTCTTTTTTCACATCAAGTGTTGTATGATAAATTGTTCAATGGATAAATTATGTCTAGCACCACCAGATCCTTTCCAGACTCCAATCAAATAAAACATAAGAAAATTAAAATTATGAGAAAATGGAAGTGGTTTTACCTCACATCTAAACATCATATTCTATTAAAAAAAATAACCATACATCTAATCAGGGTTAGAAAAAAGTGACATGTAACCCTGCATGCAGTTGAGCTTGTGTAAGCTTTTTATCATTACAACCTTGGTGTATGTGTGTGCGTATAGGGAACAGAAAGAGTGTGTGTGCATGTATCTTTGATAGCATCCTTCTCGATTACGCAATAGATAAAAAGAAACAGAGGGAGAAAGAGGGCAGATTATGTTTAAACAACCAAAGGAATGAAGAAGAAACACTGACACTAACGTGTCTTAAGACGAAGGAGAAATTGGTTTTAGAGAGAGAGTTTGTATTTCAAAATTTGAATTCAGATGAGAAAATGAGGAAATAGGCAGATGGCAGAAGGGAGGAGCGGTGGTGTCATAAAGTGTTTACTTATCTGATATAAGTGAAACAGTGAAACTGGTGACTTTCTATAACTTATTAGTTAAATATTCAAAAACAATTTTTATAAACAAACAAGTCTCAAAATTAATGTTGCTAATTATTAAAAAGAAAAGAAAATATAGAAATTGAAAAACCTTATTTAAGAAAAAAAAAATTAAGACGGAATATTGCCTTTATTGAAAAAAAAACTACAAGAAATTAGTGATGTTTATGTTAGGAGGAGGGATGCAATACCTATAACATTCGTAGAGGGATACAAGTTGCAAAACCATCTTGCACGTTTGTTAATTAACATCAACTATACTAATACTAGGCGAATGCTCGCGCGTTGCGCAGTGGGATAATTATGTAGTTTAATATGATTATATATGGTTTAATGTATTGTGAATAAGTCATACATAAAACTTGTATGCGATTAAATAGCATGTATATTTTTTGATTTACAGATTTTTTATCATAATAAATAATGAAATTTTTTTACTATTAGTTTAAAATTTTAAATGTAATTTTTATGTACACATTAGTATCTAATGTAATTAATTGATAATTGATTAGATATGGATTCTCATTTGTGGTGGTCTATTTATGTTGAACTTCATAAAAATACATATTTAACGACTTTTGTTAGTTTTACTATTGAATAGAAAATGGTGCCGTATTTTAAGTAAATATAAAAAATCTTATTCTCAATCTATTTTAAGATAGTGACATATTTTAAGTTAATATAAAAAATCATATTCTAGAACTAATGAAAAAGAAAAAACGGAGCCAAAATTTTTAACTATAATAAAGTTGATTCCAATTACCAAGTGCTCAATCGAAGATAATATCATTCAATAAACATCATAAGATATTACGTTATATTCAAATTACGGACATCATTTTTGTAAGAGTCATTCATAATATATGAGACTATAGTGCCTAATACAACAATGTAATAACCAAATGACCCTAACATATTTTAAATAAAATATAATTATAATATATTATCTATGCAACTAAATTTCTGCACAACATATGGGATTCGTCTACTATATGGTATTCTTCTAATATATTATATTATAGTATAAACATTATATTTGGAAAACCACTTTGAGTTATATTGTAGTTTATAACATTAAATTTGTGATGGGTTGTATTTGATACACATTTGTGTATTTATATCTATATTATATATTTAAAACAAATCTTATATAAACATCCAACCTAAATATTCATCTTCAAGTAAACAAACTTTTGTTATAAAGCTAAAAATGGAATAAAATACACACTTAAATTGTATGATCATGATATATTGTATTTTGATTGGGGCTTGTACAAAACATGCATGAGCATATATTATTAATTTATCTCTTGTTTTGGGTAATTCGAATAAGATAGCTTCAAATCCAACGTATCAAACGGATTACCCATTTACTAAAGTCTAAAACCCAAAAACTCAAACATGTTCTAATATCATACAAATGGATGAGGTTTTAGCAAATTATCATCTCATATAAATTACCATTGATTATGTGTGATTAATTATTAAGAAGGTGAAAAGGTTTGGGAGTTTGAAATGCATGAGGTTTTAGCAAATTATTGTGGGGGGTTTTAAATGCATGACATTCAAGGGAAAATGCAAGCTTTATAAGTATGTAAGATGGTTACAATTGTCAATTAATAATCAAAATTTACTACTTATGTAAGAAAACATCGTTAACAAATTAATAACCATACTTATGTATAAGACATGGATGACAAATTGACAGGAATAAGGAAACTACATCCACACTTTTACTGTCAAAGACGAAGTTGTCTCGGGCAGATCTCTAAGTTTCGGGCATGCCCAAATTTGAAGACTTTTAAGGCCGGGCAGGTGTTGTAGAACCTCTGAAAGTGATTCCACTTCCATAAAACAATTGAGCCCTAGAGAAGTTAGAGATGGTGGAAGAAGAAAACATGATGTAGTGGTATTACTCGCATGTTCTCCCACAGCAAATGAAACGACTCCTGAATGTTTTCCATATAGAAGTAGTTCAACAAGTGAGGTTGGAAATTTTTGTGGGCCCCACTCTGACATGGGCTTATTCAAGTATCCTATGTCAAGGCTACGTAAATTAGGAGGCCACAACCCACAAGGAAAGGAGTAATCTATACCCGGACAATCACGTATAAACAGTTCTTCCAAAGATGTGAGACTTTGCAAATGTTCATGAGGAAATGTCAAGATATCTTAGGGAAAACATGATTGAGGAAGGGAGTTGAAGTAATGGTGAGAAGGTCAAAGATGACATTTTACGACAACAACTTATCACTAACCTCTCCACACGATTTGGACAAATCAAACTCTCTAATGCGTCATAGTTACGTACCTCCAACTTCTGTAAACTGCTAAGAAACTCATAGTCCTCCGTTTCTGGTTCCCCTAAGTATCTTAATTCATCACATCTATCAATATATAGATCTTCAACGGCCCCAAGACACATTAAATGCTCTTCATCTAGTTGAACAAGTCCTTTAACATTCCCCATTTTCAATGCGATAAGCGATGAAGTGGCACCAATAATGCTTCTTAACACTTATTCCAAACATCCTTCTACATGTAAAACACGAAGTGATGGTATAAATCCAATTGACACTTGTACCAATCTCGGACAATGTTTTATAGATAACTCACGCAGACGAGGAAACGGTTTTTTAGTTCCATAGTAATTGCCACCACTAATGAACCATCCCATCCATTCTTGCATATCATCAAATTTCAAAACTTCAAGTGATGGAAAGGCAACACCAAGGAAAGAATTAGTAGATGAAAGTAACTCAAAATCCACTGTCTCCACCTCATTCATTCTTTTAACAAACAATTTACCAAGTGAAGGTAGACGTCCAAGCATTGGTAAACAATCATTTCTACACCCACATAATGTAAGCTCAGTTAACTGGTCAAATGAGGGATCACTGACCCAATCAGGAAATGTCATTCCTTTGTAGAACAAAATCTTCAGATTTCTCAACTTATGATGAGGCCTTAGCTCTTCAAGTACTTCATATTCAATCATCTCATTCCGATAATCATCAAACACATCACTCCATTCCATATCCAAAACATCAAGACCCTCCTTTTCATGTAAGTTGGCATCCTTTGCTTGCAGTGGACTTATCACTTTGTCCAGCCCCATGATAGAAAGTTGGCCTTGAAGATTCGATAGATCCTTAAGGTCGGATATTTTGAAGCCGTTATCTCTTTCAATAACAACCTTTGGTAGAGTTTGTAGACTCGTCAACCCACCAATCCCTAAGGGCATCTTGTTTAACTTTGGAGTACGACTTATGTCAAGATGCCGCAGGTTTATTAAGTTAACAAAACTTTCAGGCAAGGCAGATAACTCATAACAACCACTAACCAACAAGCTTTGTAAATTACAAAGGTCACTTACTTGTTCAGGCAAACATGTGATTCTAGTATTAGAAACATTGAGGTACCGCAAATGCTTGAGATCACCAATGGATTGAGGGATCTTTGTGATATTCCAACCACTTAGGCTGAGCACCCTTAGGAACTGTAGGTCAGGAAGTAATTCAACAAGAAAATTGTTCAATAAGTTATTACTTTTCCAACCAGATGACATTAGTAAGAAAGTCCGCAAACGTTTGGATCTTTGTAATTCCTTGATCAGCTTTTTATATGAGTCGCCTTGTAGAGCTTTAAGTGAAAAGTGGCGTAACTTCTCAAATGTTTCATTCATGTTTGATACATCCATCTCTTCATCGGATCTAAAGAAAAACTCTCCTGCAACACTTGTTGCCAAGTCACCTAGAAGGTAATGCATTGTATGCCCTACTTCGTCATTTGTTGAATATTGAAAAAATGATCTTGACTTTAGCTCTTCAAAAGACTCATAACCCAAACTCTCCATTGACTTGTCGCGTATTGATTGGGACAAGAAGCCTTCTGCCATCCACATTAGGACTAACGTTTTCTTGTCAAACACATAGCCCTTAGGAAAGAAGGAGCAGTATGCAAACAACAGCTTCAAATGTGGAGGGAGATGATAGTAACTTAGTTTTAGAGTCTTCAAGACCCTCCCAAGCATTATTAGAGCAAGAGGTAATCCACCACATTTCTTCACAATAGCTTCACCATGCAACCGAAGTGTTGGATGTTTGTCAAAGTTTTTTTCACCCAAGGCATGTTGAACAAATAAAGACAGAGCATCTTCATTTGACAAAACCTCCAAATGGTAAGTTTCATTAGAGCCCATCACTGATGCAACCCCGGTTCTCCCGGTTGTGACAATAACTTTACTTCCAGGTGCACCTACAAGAGGCGGGCTTCCAAGAAGTTTCCATAAAAGGTAGTCTATGTTCCATACATCATCAAGAACAAGTAGGAACCTCTTCTTTGAAAGTTTTTCTTTGAGGGACACATGAAGCAGATTAAGATCAGGAAATCTTTTGGCCTCCCCGCTTACAGCTTCCCAAATGGACTGGCCGATATGAAATATACTGTATGCCTCAGTAACACAAACCCACGCTCTAAGTTCAAAGTGATCCTTCAGTTTCTCCTCGTTGTACAAAACTTTAGCAAGAGCGGTTTTGCCTACCCCAGCCATACCAACTATGGACACTATGCCAACATTTTCATCACTTCCCAACAACTTCATCAGCAATGCCTCTTTATCCCTTTCCCGACCAATTATTTGCGACTCAACTGGAATTTCCTCCAACCGTCTCTCCCTTCTATATGACTCTACTTCAACAATTACATTCAAATCCAAATCATTTTTCCTTTCCAGAAATGTATCCAATGGTTGGTAATCTCATCCAGCTTAGAACTCATCTGCCGACCATACATGATGCTGTGGGGACCAAAATTACTAAAACTTGACAATAACTTCAAAACCGTATTGCTGATGCTAGCACGGGATTCTTCATTCAACTTGCGTCGCATATCTTCGGTGGTTAAATCATCGAGTAAGTCGTCTATATCGTAAGTCAATTCATAGAGATCGTACAGCCACCGTTGAGCAGCTATGTATGTTATCTGCTTATTTCTTGCTTCAGCAAGCACAGCTTGGATCAGGGGCAAGGTTTTCTTCAATTTTTTTAGCTGAGTATCGATTCCTTTAGATTGAGCCAGCTTCATCAAGTCTGCGGAGTTGAGCTTCCCACAGAGCAAAGTGATGAAGGCGCTAACGATTTCAGCCATTGGGATTTGTAAAAAGAATGATCGTTTCTTTGTTCAGGGTTTTGGCTTGAAAAGAAAGGTTAAGCGAAAGGTTTTTGGCCTCATAGATATTGGTAAAGTAATCCAACTTTTGGGATTAAATAAGCAAATAAGCATTTTTTGTTTTTTTTTTCAAATACTTATTAAATTAAATAAATTTAGCCTATTTTATAAAAAGGATAATGTCTTAAAAGGATAATATATTTTTTCATTTATATATATTTGGGCATTAGTTTCTTTCGTCTATATTTACCTTTTCAACTTGTTAAACTATTCACATTCAGTCTTTATGACCGACTACTCCAAGTTAGTTGGTAAAAATGACTTAATATGGTAATATATTTCTTACATTGTACACATTTAGTCCTTAATATTTTTATACACATTTAATCCTTAATATTTTTTTTGTTGCAAAATAAGTTATTTTTTGTTTTTGTATTCATTCAGTACTTATAAAAAATTTCTTTGGATTTTTCTCACGACATCTTACGTGAGACGTTTGTATGGGGATTTTGATGCTTATGTACGTCGCGGTCTCGACTACTTGGTTGCTTAGATCATGTGTTATGAACGTCATAAATTATTCATACAATCTCGGATTTTAACGATCTTTATATCCATGCGTTCGTATTTTAGTCTACTACAACTTTCATTTAGATTACTCCTGTTAAAAAGTAATATATTTTTACTTACAATCTTTATATACATAGGTTTTTTATAAATGCATGTATGAATGTTTTTTTTATAAAATCATAAGTAAAAATATATTACACTTTGAACCAGAGTAATCTTAACGAAAGTTGTAGTGGACTGAAAAAGCGAATACGTGGATATAAAGATCGTTAAAATCTGATATTGTATGAAGACGTTACGACGTTTATAATACAAGACCTAAACCAAATCACAAGACCTGCGCAACCAAACAATCGAGATCGCAATGGACATAAGCATCAACAACCTCAAACACCTCATAAATGATTGTCTCATGTAAGATGTCATGAGAAAAACCTAAATAAATCATTCATAAGTATTGAATGAGTATAAAAACAAAAAGGACTTATTTTGAAAAAAATAATATTAAGGACTAAATATATACAAAATTATTAAGGATTAAATGTGTACAAAATGAGAAATATATTACCCTATTATGTCATTTTTCTCGGCTAACCTAAAGTAAACGATCATAAGGACTGAATGTGTACAATTTAACAAGTTGAAGGGGTAAATATGGACGAAAAAAAACTCATTGACCAAATGTGTACAAATCGAAAAATATATTACCCTTTTAAGTCATTATCCCTTTATAAAATAGCAAAAATTATGAGTTTTCATAAAAGTCGCACAAACCATACATGGGGGAGGCTCATCTACAGTTTCGTTTACTCAGCTCCAGTTTCGTGTGTTATGTTGTGGTTTCGTGGGATTGTCTTCGATTTCAGCCAACTCTTTAATTTTTATTTTATTTTCATTTCTAAGATGACGAAATCGCAGATGGCATGTGGCCCTCTACGCTTCCTCTCATCTCGACTTTGGTTTCGTCACCTGTTTTTTTTCTAATTTTTTTTAATTCAATGTAAGTTTGACTACAATATTTTAGCCTAAAATCATACAAGCTACTAGTACATGTTCATTGGATAACACATAACAGCAAACAATCGAAAAAATCGGATAATATGAAAAATGAAACTGATGATGGCATTACCATCTGCAGTGGAACAAGTCTTATAATGCAGAATATGTCCATTACAAACTTCTACCATCACAGATGGCAATGCCATATTTGGTTTCGTTCTTCATAATATATTGCTTTTCTGATGTTCGAGAAAAATGATAAAAACATACACTTAACCAGTAAAAATAAGAGCGTACATGATAAAAAGCTGAAAAAACATCACTTAAAACAATGTTTCGTTATTCAATCATCAGAGAGAGAATTTGAGAGTTTGAATGTAAAAAATGAGCTACAAATATTTTTAGGGTTTAAATATTAGGGCTCATGGGCCGCAAAATAGAATATGGGCCACGAAATTGCAGCATGTATGATGAAACCGACAGGTGCTCTCCCCTAAAAGCGTGAAATCAAAGCCGACTAGAAGAAACCACAGATAAGGTAGTCGCATATGGGTTTTAGTGGCTATTTTTTTAAAAACCTTTTTTAGCTATTTTTTGAAAAATAAGTAAGAAAAATGGCTATATTTGTATTTCTCAATTAGTAATCCCAAACACCCCTATTTTGTAACATTTGGATTTCAGGTACTTTTTTCCCTTTTTGCCCTTAACTTAAAAATTCTTGCATTTTGGTCCCTGGCTAGTATGTTGGGCGTACACTAGGAGTATGTTGGGCGTATTGGGTCGAAAACTTAGTCGCGGAGGCATCCACGTATGTCACACCCCCAAACCGGAACGGCGGAAACGTTCGGGGGCGGAGGACGTCATGTACAGTATCACAACAATTGAATAATAGTAATCAAAGCAACAACAACCATTCTATTAATATTATAGTGTTTACATTACATTTAAATCATACAAGATTGACTCCAAAAGTAAATACAAGTAAAGACTCGAAGTTACTATGCTCCGTCTTCTTGAATCCGGACGTGTACTTGTCTACTAATATCCTGAGAATACAAGTAGGTTTTGAAAGAGTATCAACATAAAGCTGGTGAGTTCATAAGCATTTTGTTTTGGAAAAACTGTTATTTGTTCTTTTGAAAAGTGCATTATCTTTCTCCAGAAAACCTTATATTTTCTGATATAATGAATGTATAAACCTTAAGTACTTACCAGTTCCTCCTGCGAGTACTTAGTGCATAAAAATCATATACAGTCCAGATCGAACAAGCAATCGATTGTGTGGTTCTGCCCCCAAGTCCACAACCAAACAAGGAACTGGAAGTAAGGCGGAAGCCACACATTCCACTGATTTTCGGATCCTCTTGTACATAATCCTGTAGTATTCACTAGATACTTACAAAGTTAACTGTATTGGTTCTTTGATATCTGTTGAAAGTGTTCCTCAAGAAAATCCCATATTTTCTTATGAAAAGCATGATTAAACCCATTCCTTCTATGACTTCTTAGTTCATACTAGTTACGCATAAACCAATATCGAATAGACAGTTAATTGTGTGGATCTGCCCTAAACCCACAACCAAAAAAGGAACAGGGAATGAGGCGGAAACCACACATTTCACAGTCTATCAGGTATTCTTCATACGTAATAAACTAAGGAGTCATGGAATTAATATGAATATTCATCAGTTGAATAATAAACCATCTGTTTATAAAATACTAATGTTTACTCTGGAAAATCCTATATTTTCCCTAAGTGTAAGTTATTGAATTATCCGTTCTAAATCGAAAAGTACAAGTATCTACCATACTTATATTGTTTAAGCATTGTTTCTTTTTGAAAACTCTGGCTACCTCCAGTAATGTATATTAGTCTTATTACATAAATAAAATTAGCTGAAAACATAGAGTCCTATATCCTGAAAGTGTTGTTAATACCCTCCCGTGATCACTTAGTACATACGAGTTATAGAAATCTAGATCGAACAAACAGTCGATTGGGTGATTCCGCCCTAAGCCCACAACCAAACAAGGAACAGGAAATGAGGCGGAGATCACACATCCCACTGCAAGTCGGATGTTAATTTCATATTACCCTAGTGTATATACTAAGTTATCACATAGTTATTAACCCTGATGACTGATTTTTAAGTACATTATTACGTGGACGAGTCGTTGTTTCACCTGTAGATTCTTATAACTATACTAATGGACGAATACCAAATTGACGTACTTCGGACGTCGAAAACTGAACAGACGTTTGTCACCCCAGACATGCCTGCCTAACTGTAGCTAGCAGTTTAGGTGTGGGATTGTCAGTCCCGTATAGATCTATACACAAACTCACGCTCTCCCTCCAGGAGACTCTAGTTACAAGGCGTCGCACACTGTAGTTCTCTCAAAGAATCCACGAATAATACTATGAAAACCCTTCTTGTTATTAACATGAATCCTTATAAAATAATATCTTTTATTTCATAATTCATAAGTTTGTTTCCTTAGTTCTTAAAACTGCTTTTGCAAGGTTTGTATCCTAACACGTTTTATAAAACTGATTTGTACATTCGATGTATACTAATGATGGAAAATATATTAAACAACATAATATTTCAAACACAAGATTACTTATGCTTTTACTTGTATTCCCCCCTGAAAACATTAAAAACTCGGAAAATATAGGGGTATGAACTCACCTTATGTGTTTTATTCGATTGAAAGTTCGCGTAAGGATGAGAAGTTCCACGAATGAATTCCCGAGACACAACGAGTCCTAAATGACATATAATAACATATAAAGGCATGTAATTAGTGTTTTGGACAACTAACATGCAAGGAAACACACTTAGGGACTAGGAAACACTTGAAACTAAGTGTTACAATCACATGTGATTGACTAAAATGGGTTTACATCCATACAGGAGAGTGTACGGCCAGGGGTGTACAGTCAAGTGAGTGTGTACGGCCATAAGTGTACGGCCATGGAGTGTACGACCGTACACCCATGAAAGAAACATGAAAAAAGGGGTGATTTGATCCATGGGGAAGCTAGTGGGTCTAATGTTCAACAAGAAGATGTGCAAAACACTCGATTTGGACTCCTTTAGGGTGTGTACGGCCAACCTATGAAGGGTTTACGGCCGTACACCCTTCAAGATCATGAAGGTGATGCTGAAATGTGTAGAATCGAGGCTTGGATCTAATGGTCTTTCAAGTATAACAAGTTTAAGGTTGAAATACTTACGTTTTGGAGCCTTTGGGGTGTTCACGGCCGATGATAGTTGAGAGAGAATGAGAGTGATCTTGGTTGGGAGGAGGAAAAAATGAGAAGAAATGAGCACTACATATATATATATATATATATATATATATATATATATATATATATATATATATATATAGAGGGTGGTGTA